TAACAGTACATGTACATGACGTCATGTAAGTCAATATAATAAGGACCTGTATCTTTCCATAAATTCAATTTTTGTGTGTGCGTGTGCGTGCGTGTGCGTGCGTGCGTGCGTGTGTGTGTGTGTGTGTGTTTTCAGACACTAAGCGTCAGCCTATGCAATGGGGTAATGAAGGTTTTAGAATGGTACGTCACCTCCGTAGTAGCCATGGCACAGTTTCCTCTTTGTCATGTTCTTCATCTCCGTCAGATGTCCGTCTGCATGGGTGGTGTTGGGTCTCGGGTTGGCCTCAAAGTAGGCGACTACAGCCTTCAGAATCCCCATCTCTGTAATGTCTGCATGAGTCCATGTTCCATCTCCTATGTCGACATTTGACAGTCTACTGGGGAAAAAGGAGTATACTCCGTCAGAACAGAGAACCAACAACAAGCTTGTTACGAGACGCATGTCGACGGGTGTCTTCAAGAGCACAAGAAGGTTGGTGTGCAGCCATCCGATGTGGGTAGCTGTATGGGTCATGTAAACTGGGTCACTGTAGTTTCGCCATATACTCGAGTAATTACAAACTCGAACGTGAAGTAAATATCGTTTATTTGTTAACCCTTCCTTGCCTAAAATGATTCCTACATGGCATCAATCACAAACTCATTTTCACAATTACCCATCACGCATTCTCTCTCCCATTATTCAGCAATCTCGCACATAATACCCCACCATTCACATACATTCACACCAACACTCAAAATATTATAACATCACAAATGGCTTAAAACAATGATATGCACCAAACAAGCCAACGAGTCTGACCAGATTTTCTGCTATATTCGCTTCTTACGATAGGGTTGCTAAACACCAGAGAAGACAGCTATTTCAACATGCGTCTCATAACTAGCTTCTTGTCGATTGTCTGCTCTGAGGGTAAACTCCGTTGCCCCAGCAGACTGCGAGGTGTCGACATGGGAATGGAACATGATGAGAGAGTGAGTTAAATCTTACATTGCATCGGCAATATTGGACCCATGCAGCAACGAGAACAAGTTGACTATAAATAAATGTCTGTCTACAAAGGACAGTAAAACAATATGTTTCGTATCACAGTTTTGGTATAAAAGAAACCTTCCAGTAATAGGCCTCTAATACACCTTCCTGGGCTCAAGGGGAAGATGGACTCATCCTGACATTGAAGCTGTGCCTTTGGAATATACGGTCATCCAATATCGCGGGAGGCGCAAGCACTTTTTATTATGAGACCGGATTTGCACGAATTTCCTAGCTTGAATTCAACAGTTGATACCTTAAAATGCTTGATCATTGAGTGTTTCCATTACATTCCTTTTATTTGTAATAAGTGCTGACATTTCCGACTGCTTTCTAAGTTTAATAGCGTTTGAAATATGGACATTTTCTGTGACCGGGAAATATTTGTAAGTTTAAGAAAATTTGCAAACGTTTTCATGCCTCATAACATAGATACCCGTGATTTCTGGAATGACTTGTGTGTTCATATAACAGGTACAAAACATGATGTTCATAGATATGAAATACTTGTACATTGTACTGGGGGTATACTGACATGATGTATTTTCACAAATTCTGGAACCTTTGCCATCAAGGATCATATGACCTCATTAAAGGAAAGTACTAGAATATTGCCATAATTGACTGGATTAAAGTCATCAGAAATATGCACACCAATTTTTAATGCAAAAATTATTATTTATAATTGAATCGCGAAAACCGTTACTGGTATTTTTGCTTCGGCCATTATGCATATTCCGTTGACCAGTCCCTGGCTTTTTTCGCTCGTAACGTTCTATGTGACAAGGTCTAGTATTTTATAATTCACCTGTTTTCGGAACAAAGATTATCTGCGACGATATATTATCTCTACTCGATCGGACTTGGATCTGGCATGGAGACAAGATAATTGTTAATTAGAACTAAACTACCGGGCAAAAGAAAGTTATCACTGACGTCACATGACCACAAAACAAGAAGCAAAGATATTGTGATGGTAATTCTTTTACCAAACAGAAATCATTTTCCAGTAATTTGGCTGAAAAGACATTGTAATTCTGGTCTTGCTTTTGCCGCAGTTCATTAAATTAAAAATATACACAAATCAGAGTTTATTCACGCAGTGCATGAAGGGTCGAATTGTTCATTTTTTATGCAATTACTTTAAAAGTGATAAGTTTCTTTTGCCCAGTAGTTCAGGATCCTAAATTTTTCAATTAAATAATTCCTTGATTTAAACATATTTTATTCATTGAAGAAAAAGATTATCCAACGTAATGAAGCCCTTTCCAAATATGTACAACAGTTATGTTTACATGCATAAAATCAAATATGCATGAAACAGAGAAACAGAGAACATATACATGAGAGATCGTGAGTCTGAGAATATGACAGATTAAGATGAACAGAGGAATCGTTTAGTTTCATCGATGTAATGATGCACATGTTTGAAGATATTCAGATTTTCTTCAGTTTGGAGGTCTGCATTGCAAGAGGCTGAATATTTTAGTCTTGTTCTGGGCACAGTTTAACTTTCAGGAGGGTGTGAGTGTGGGTGTTAGTGTTGGGGTTGGTGTGAGTGTGGGTGTTGGTGTGAGCGTGGGTGTGGTGGTTGGTGTGAGTGTGGGTGTGGATGTGGGTGTGGGTGTGGGTGTGGATGTGAGTGTGGTTGTAGATGTGGGTGTGAGTGTGGGTGTGGGTGTGGGTGTGGGTCTAGTGTGGTAGTTGGTGTGAGTGTGGTTGTTGGGTTGAGTGTGGGTGTGGGTGTTGGTGTGAGTGTGGGTGTGGCTGCGAGTGTGAGTGTGGATGTGGGTATGAGTGTGGGTGAGGTTGTTGGTGTGAGTGTGGATGTGGGTGTGAGTGTGGATGTGAGTGTGGTTGTTGGTGTGAGTGTGAGTGTGGGTGTGGGTGTGGGTGAGGATGTGGATGTGAGTGTGGGTGTTGGTGTGAGTGTGGGTGTGGTTGTTTGTGTGGTTGTGGGTGTGGATGTGAGCGTAGGTGTGGTTGTTGGTGTGAGTGTGGTTGTGGGTGTTGATGTGGGTGTGGGTGTGGTTGTTGGTGTGAGTGTGGATGTGGGTGTGGTTGTGGTTGTTGATGTGGGTGTGTGTGGTTGTTGCCGTGAGGGTGGGTGTGGGGGCGGGTGTGGATGTGGGTGTGGGTGTGGTTGTTAGTGTTGGTGTGAGTGTGGGTGTTTTGTTGGTGTGAGTGTGTGTGGTTGTGTGTGTGTGTGTGTGTGTGTGTGTGTGTGTGTGTGTGTGTGTGGTTGTCGGTGTGGGTGTTGGTGTTGGTGTGGGTGGGGATGTTGGTGTGAGTGTGGGTGTGGTTGTTGGTGTGAGTGTGTGGGTGTGTGTGGGTGTGGTTGTTGGTGTTGGTGTGGGTGTGGGTGTGGTTGTTGGTGTTTGTGTGGGTGTGGGTGTGGTTGTTGGTGTGAGTGTGGTGGTGTGGTGAGTGTGTGTGTGTAGGTGTGTGGAGTGTAAGGTGTTGATATTTGGTGTGGGTGTGGGTGTTGGTGTGAGTGTGGGTGTGGGTGTGGGTATTGTGAGTGTTGGTGTGGGTGTGGGTGTGGGTGTGGGTGTGGGTGTTGGTGTGAGTGTGTGTGTGGTTGTGGGTGTGGGTGTTGGTGTATGTGTGGTTGTGGTTGTGGTTGTGGTTGTGTGTGTCTGTGGGTGTTTCTGTTGGTGTTTGTGTGGGTGTGGTCGTTGGTGTTGGTGTGTGTGGGTGTCCGTGTGGTTGTTGGTGTTGGTGTTGGTGTTGTTGTGGGTGTTGGTGTTGGTTTTGGATGGGTGTTGGTGTTGGTGTTGGTGTTGGTGTGGGTGTAGAGTGTGGTTGTTAGTGTGGGTATAGGTGTGGATGTGGATAGAAATTGTGGGTGTGGATGTATGAGATTTATGTAGGTGTTGTTGTTAGTTATAGTTATAGTTGGATATTTAGTGTTGGTGTAGGTGTTGGTGTGTATATTAGTGTAGGTGTGGGTGTGGAAAAGTGTGGGTGTGGGTGTGGGTGTTGGTGTGGGTGTGGGTGTGGGTTTTGGTGTTGGTGTTGGTGTGGGTGTGGTTGTTAATTGTAGTTGTTGATGTGTGTGTGTGTGTGTGTGGTTGTGGGTGTGGATGTGAGTGTGGGTATGGGTGTGGGTGTGGGTGTGGGTGTGGGTGTGGGTGTTGGTGCGGGTGTGGGTTTGAGTGTGGGTATTGGTGTGAGTGTGGGTGTGGATGTGGATGTGACTGTGGGTGTTGGTGTGGGTGTTGATGTGGGTATGAGTGTGGGTGAGGTTGTTGGTGTGAGTGTGGTTGTTGGTGGGATTGTGGATGTGGGTGTGAGTGTGGGTGTGGGTGTGGGTATGAGAGTGGGTGAGGTTGTTGGTGTGAGCGTGGTTGTTGGTGTGGGTGTGGGTGTGAGTGTGGGTGTGGGTATGAGTGTGGGTGAGGTTGTTGGTGTGAGTGTGGATGTGGGTGTGTGTGGATGCGAGTGTGGGTGTGAGTGTGGGTGTGAGTGTGGGTGTGGATGTGAGTGTGGGTGTGGGTGTGGTTGTGGGTGTTGGTTTGAGTGTGGGTGTTAGTGTCAGTGTGGGTGAAGTAACTGTTGAAACATAGGTACAGCGTCACCGACAGGCAACTGGTTTTGGACGCTCCCCGACGGGTGATAAATGATCACCGCCACTGACTTAGTTCAAAAGTGCCTATGTTCACACGCGGTACGGTATCCTGGGAATGAGTGAGGTTATTGTTGAAACATTACAGCGTAACCGACAGGCAGCTTGGTTTGTCGCTCCCAAGCGAGGTAAGAATGATAAACGGAAAGCATACGATGCGGATAACTGATCAGCTTTTGATTTGCAGATACGGTTACCTGGTTCCACATGAAGTAACACCCTCTTGAGTAGCGCTATCATTGGGTGATATTTATGAACCAGGAAGTTGGGCGAATGTTAAACATAAAAAAAGAAAGTTGAGCAGAATGTATATAAAGAAATGCTCGTCTAACAAGGATCAGCTTTCATCATGCGTCTCGCAACAAGCTTGTTGTTAATTCTCTGTTCTGACGGAGTATACTCCTTTTTCCCCAGCAGACTGTCAAGTGTCGACATAGGAGATGGAACATGGACTCATGCAGACATTACAGAGATGGGGATTCTGAAGGCTGTAGCCGCCTACTTTGAGGCCAACCCGAGACCCAACAGCACTCTTGCAGCTGGAGATCTGTCACAGATGAAGAACATGACAACGAGGAAACTGTTCCAAGTCTACTACGGAGGTGACGTACCATACTAAAACCTTCATCAAATGTGAAACTTTTGATGCTCATGTGTTACCAATATACATTTCTCTACCAAGCATAATGTGGCAGTAGCTATTGTTTTACATCAGGACCTAATAACACGCTTGTACATGGAAATACGTACACGGGAAGTTCATATTCACCAGTTACAACACAACGTGAGTACCCTCTACAAGTCGCTAATACCGTTGATGGTGGCTAAATCTAAAAAAAGGGATAAGAAATTGTGACCTGTATTAAATGAGGAATTGGAATCTTTATACTACAAACCAATTCCTTATAATGGTTTCTTGATGCAAGATGATGTTTTTTGTGGTTACAGAAGGAGTGTCAGAATCACGGTTTCGGGACGCCATTAACAGCATCATCAAAGCCAATAACCAGGTGAATCTGGATCAGTTCCGGACGGCGGCGTGACACTGTAACGGGGAGACAATCAGGGAAGGTAAACCAGATGCGTGGTGCTCTTGAACATGCGCTGACGGTGATTTGAGTTGTTTACACTGTGTTTCGCTGAACTCAATTACGCCATTACTCAACATTCTTGAATGTGCAAGAGAAGCGACAAAACTATTTCCACATTCATAAGAACTCTCTGCCCAAAGCAGAGTCGATTGTGACTATATCATGAGCAGATATTTGTTTCAGCAGCATTACAGCTGTATGGCGTTGCCTGTAAACAAATCGGGTCCGAACCAGACAATCCAGTGATTGTCACCATTCGATACGATGACAGCATGTGTTTATGAATCACTATGAAATGGTGATGATACCAGGTGTTCGCGAAAAGGCGGGCAATCAATATTTAAATATGATTTATCAATGACATATGTTTCAGTGATCAGTATATGGCTGAAACTGTTAATGTGGGGATTCATGTCACGGTGTACGTCATACAACCATTACGTTTACGTCACACATTCGAACCTCATTCAAATTCTGTCCCTCCGTACTCTGTTTCAGCAAACCAGAAGATGACGAATCTAAGAGAACAGGCCATCTTCGTTTTGTCACAAAACAATACCAACTTTGACCTGGCCAGGATTTTGATTGGTCAGTTTCTGCACATTATGCAAATGTTCTACAGTAACACAAACTGGGTTGAGTTCAAAGGAGCTGTTCCATACTACTCCCTCGGTAAGTCTCACTTTATTTATAACGCCGCGTGTCATTGAGACATTTGATCTCCACGTGAACATCAGATTACAGGTTATACTTTAAACCAGGAAATAACCTAACCCGCCGTGAGGTAGACGGATGCGTACCCACCCTTCATTCTCTTTACATAATGCAAGACCTAACTATTGAGTTATACAGTTAATACCTGCCAGTGGAATTAGTAGACACACGGGACCAAAGACAGATTTTACACCATTGAAATCAACGCAAATACAGTAACCGTGGGATATACTTGTTATGAACTGATTTTCATATGTGACTCTATATTATTATATATAACCTACTAAGATCATATGTAATACTGAATTGGTGATAGTCGTATTCAAAAGATATCAAAACAGGTACACTATTTATATATCCCACAAGGAACAGAGGCTGAGAAAGGTTTAACTGAATACGCCATGATATATACTTAACCCCAGAAAATTTTCAAATGTGACCTTTGTATGTTATCGTTAACAATATTAATAAGTTGTGAGTGCACATGATGTAATGGCATACATTATTTGCACTTACGAAATCGTTTGCGCCAAAGCAGCCACAATGCGTAAAATCATCTATTTTGCACGTGCGCGCACGTTTGCACTGAGATGTATCCTTTATAAAGTGAGATCCGTGAAAGTCCGGGTTAGAACTGGCCCTCAGTAACCCATGTTTGTCGTAAGAGGCGACTAACGGGGTCGGGTGGTCAGGCTCGCTGACTTGGTTGACACATGTCATCGGTTCTCCATCGCGCAGGTCGATGCACATGCTATTGATCACTGGATTGTCTGGTCCAGACTCGATTATTTACAGACCGCCGCCATATAGCTGGAATATTACTGTGTGCGGTGCAAAACTAAACTCTCTCATTCACTCACTCACTCACGTTATAAAGTGGCCCGTCACCAAACAATTCATTCTGTGGATGTAACGTGAATATTGTTCATGATAAACTATGCCACGACCAACACAGTGGCAGAGAGGAATGACCCTTGGGAGTTTGCAGGAGGGTACGTTCGACTCTCCTACCCAGAGTTCTATGCGGCAAGCCACAGGCCAGAAAGATGTGACGATTCATATACACCGTCCATTCAATATAATCTACATATTCCTTAACTCTTTTATTTTTGACGACTCGACACATCTAATGAAACATCTTTGTTAGAATGGTTTAGTTTCACTGAATAAATATCCTAAAACATGTAAGACTATTTCCATTTGCGTAGCGATACTTTGTTTACATAGGTTGTACTGCTCCACCAGCTGTCATCGAAGCCAACAGAGAGCAAACGATGCATCCAGTTTGATATCTAAATATGTACTGTTATAAATGTTATTGTCGCAGTTGTGGAGGAATATATATGTGACAATGTAAAACATTGTGAAGAGCGCCGAAAAGCTTGCGTAAGGCCAGTCTCTTCTTATTATGAATATGCGCGTTTGTTTACAAACAAGAGAAAAGTCCGGTCACGTGATATGCAAATTAGCCTGTGGCAGTGATGTTATGCTAAGTCATCACTGTGCCGGAGTGTGGGTACCTTCGCCACTAATGTCGCCAGGTGCTGGGGATGTCACGTGAAGCCTATCAGAAGGGTTGCAAGGACGGGGGCGGTGGGGTAGCCTAGTGGTTAAAGCGCTGGCTCGTCATGCCGAAGACCCGGGTTCGATTCCCCACATGGGCACAATGTGTTAAGACCATTTCTGGTGTCCCCCCGCCGTGATATTGCTGGAATATTGCTAAAAGCGGCGTAAAACTAAACTCACCCATACAGTCAGTCAGTTGCAAGGACGCTGTCAACGTACGGGTGCCATTGCTGGCCATCCTCGTTTCGATACAGATTCTTGTACGTGCAGCAACGGTACAAGAATCTGCATCGAACCGTCGCACTCTCGTAATAAAAAAAGGCGTTATCCATATGGTTTGTCTATATTGTACTTCCCATCACATGTATTAGGTCATAACTGAGTTTATTGTATGGATAACATTATCATCGTTATTTTTTTGTTAGGAATACGAGACAAACCTCTCCTCGGTCAAGCACCGCTGGCAATGGACACCTGTCTATCATGTGGGTATGTATAAAACATGTGCAAGACAGTTATCATAAATTTGCTCTTGGAACGAATCATGTTTTATGCAGCACCAAAGTAATCTTTCATTGAACGTGATTCTTTCATAATAAGTGATGGATAAGGGAGGATACTCACTTTTTAATAAATATCCCATGAACACATATTGTATGACCAATACGACGTCATTGCATAATGACCTTTTAAAATCTGGACTGACAGGTCTAACCCACAGGTCTAACCGATAGTTGGTTTTATTTGACGTAATTTTTTTATTCCTACTAGGGTGTCCCACGTCTTTTGCATTAGATCACGGATGTAAGATTTAATTACGGCTTTGTAATCAGAGTATGGGATGAGAAGCTGTTATTTGGTAATCAAGAAGCTATTGTTCTGATGCGATGAAAGTGGCACAAGTGAAACTGCGTCACCATCCTTGGGCGTGTTTTAGCATTACTTTGGAATGAACCTTCCTCTTCCAGCAAAACTAGCCTTTAATTTCGGCAATATAAACGAAACACGAAGAAAAGTTATAAATGAAAAAAAAGACAAACAAAGGGCATGTTACACGTAATGCGTACATGATACTAAGGGGCTAAACCGACAGGTCTGTCCACAACTGAGATACCTTCTAAAAATAACGTCTTATCTACTTTTTGTACATCACGCAATTCTTGACCAAAATGCAAGGTTTTGTTGCCCATGTAAGTCTCACTTACCTTTTCATATTACGCATAACTTCTCAAATGCCTGGGCGGTGGGGTAGCCTAATGGTTAAAGCATTGGCTCGTCACGCCGAAGACCCGGGTTCGAATCCCCACATGGGCACAATGTGTGAAGCCCATTTCCGTTGTCCCCCGCCGTGATGTTGCTGGAATATTGCTAAAAGCGGCGTAAAACCAAACTCAGACAGTCAGTCTCAAATGCCAGTTAAACAGACAAACGTAGAGGTGAAAGACTGTCTAGAATCCTCGCTTACAATATCAGAATCGTATCGACGTTGGCTACAAAGTTCGCACATTAACGTATCATGTGTCTTTTTTTTACAGTGAAGAGCTAGACATAAAGTGTGAAGACAATATGATTGTGGATGGCTTCATTCTGACAAGTGGTTATAGAAGCGGACAAGATGTTACCAAACCTTACAGTAAGTTTTACATTTGCTTCTTTCAACAAATTCCTACTGTTAAAGGCTGATCAACCAAAAATCATGAGTTGTTTCGTAGTACATGGAAAAGTAAATTAGACCAATCCCATGTTTGTCTTATTGAGTCTAAATGTGGGTGTTCAGTCAGCATTCACAAGTGTTCATTTACTTCACGTGTGAATAAACCATACGTCCTCTGTGGCTATATTGAAATACGAAATCGAATTGTTTGCACATATTAAAACATTTCTTTCAACAAAATATTTGACTTTGTACAAACTACAGTTCAAATGACAATCGTATTTCAGAAGACCCTAGTGTCTACAGAACGGGCAAATGCAGTCATGGCGGTCCGAGGGACGAGAGCAGTTCATCAGTGGCAGCCCTGGGGGGAATCAACAAAGACTCCACCCTCGTGTCCCTGTCTCCCCACAGTCATCTCCACCAGGTGGCAGCACAGGCAGCCATTGAACACACCTCGTACTTCTTTGATGACGAAGGTAAAACAGTTCATGAACCTGAGCATCCGTGTGTTGCAACACGCTCAACAATGTATACATATTTCAGTTGCTACTGTCGATTATTTCTCTGACACTTTGGTTCTTCCCAGAATACGGAATCAGGGGTATCATCGGGACCGACAAGTTCAACAATTTACTTCAGCTGAAATCTGGAGCCTCGCTTGCATTCATCATAGACTATTCTGGTTCCATGAGCAATGACATTGCAGGAGTTAAGTCTGTCTCTCGGGGTATCATATCAAGTAAGGTTGGGACCTTGGAGGAACCAGCAAACTTCATTTTCTCCCTCTTCAATGACCCGTGTAAGTATGAGACGGTTCTATATGTCCTCAAAATCCTAACATCACGTCCAATGAAATTATATCAAGCTTTTACGTGAAACCTTTTGTGAATATATATTTGGATTATAAACGTTTGTTTATTGAACAGTGTCATTGAACATGATTTACACGACTTCTGATGGGGATGATGCTCTACGGTATCTGGACGAGATCAGGGTCTCTGGTGGCGGCGATTGCCCAGAATACGCTATGACTGGACTCGTAAACGGTAAGGTGATAACGATGTCACGCTGATAGCTGAAATACCTACGACAGTGTCCACACTATAGGATGAAGTGGTTTTGTTACTCAGAGATTAAACTGTTTGTCATTTTACTGACATACGTGTCAGTGAATGTTGGATCTAACAGGAATACATGTACCCCATACCCATGTTTATGGTGACTTCATATAATCCACGACACCATCAGTGCCTACTATCTAGAAATATCGGTTAAGTGCATCAACAGTGCGTCAAGTATTCAGATTCAGAATCAGTCTCAAGGAACACTTTGGAATTTGCTGCATTTAATGACGTTGTGCCCATGTGCTGCCAAGGTCTGCAGTTTTAGTAATCCCTTTTCGCCTTAAACCCGATCTATTTAGTTATTGCTAAATTGTCAGATTAAAATGCTGTAACTGCATGGTTTCCCTGCAACAACTGTAGAAATGATTATCTTAGCTTGAAAACATTACAATTACCATTCGGATTTAAGTATTTCAAAAAAACTAATCTTTTTCAGCGCTGGCTGTCTGCAATTACAACTCCGAACTATACCACTTCACGGATGCCTCTGCTAAAGATGCAAATTTAGGAGTCACAGTATTGTCACTGGCTGTCTTGAAACGAGTTGAACTGGAGTTTGTATTGACCGGTGATTGTGCTCGGCGGAAGCGCTCGACAGGTGCTCAATATGTATATTTTTTCAGTATCGCGAGTTCTTTTAGTAGTATTATACTTTTTCACAATCAAGCGCCCTCTTAGTAGTTCTTTACTTTTATACTTATACTATATACTTTAATGCTGAGCAGTAAACACACATTATATAAAACAATTGCAACGTTCAATGAAAGCGATGAAACATTAAAGGCATTGCACGATTACATCATGACGCAGTATGTAATAACGATGACACCGGGCCGGGTGTTCCCGCTACGGTGAGCATAATCTGTCTTTCCGATTGCACTTGTAATAAAGACACGTAACGAAAAGAGAACTGTTTTTTCTAAAATATCCTACAGTATATGGTACTGTCCAATATATGTCAGGGAATGTTGTAACATGGTAAGATTGGCCTTCGTCTATCTGAAACTCTTACAGAGGGCGGTGATAACAGGAACCGCAGGAACAGACGTTCCACGAACGGTGAGGATTTATACAGGAGGCTAGCCACAGCTACTGGAGGCTCCATCTACGTCACAAGCAAGGCAGGCATCGCCAAGGTCGCTGAGATTATAAAGGTACAATGAAGTGAACATCAAGTGACTGTACACATTCACCCGAACTACAGTATACTATTGTTTGTAATATATGGTCTATTTAAACTGGCTATCAAACAAATACAGCTGACTTCACAAAGGTTAATCCAGCCTTGTTCCATCAATTCAGCTATTGTTCCAGGAATCAGTTAAAACGTCTTCTGTCACTATCATCAAAACATCTCTACCAGCTTCTGACGAGAACGTCACCTTTCCTGTGGACCAGACCATTCGCCAAGCTACAGTCAAGATTATAGCATTGGACAGAACGACGCCCATGTATAAACTATATACACCTGACAGTAAGTATAGTTGAATCACATCACTGGTCACACCAGACTGGTCAGCCTGTATGGACAGCATGATGTCATGAATTCTTTGACGTCATATCAGATTGTTCACAGTGATAGTATGCAACCCGTGAGCTGACCGAGACCACGGTATTGTCGATTGGTTACGTTACAAAATTCCTCTGAAAAGAGAAATGTGAACACTAAAGGAACACTATAGGAACAGCGCAAAAAGCGAGATGCACGTGCGTTAACGGGTTCTCAACAATTTTGTGAGCTGGCGAGATGACACGTACTCCAGCTACAAAGGCAGTGCGCTGTATGTACTTACAACTTTTTTTATTTTTGTGACAAAAATTATGCAATTCTTTTCTAGAGTTTGACTGTTGTTTTTATTGCATTCCGTTGGTTTGATATTGTTATGTCTTTTTGTTTTTGTGTTAGATTCCAATTCATCGGTATCATTTTGTCTAAAAAAAACTGTAGATTAGATCACCACGATGATGTTTCAGGTTGAGGAGAGTGACGTATATATCACTATAGATGGTCAATAGATAGCCTTTGATAAGCCAATAGATAACTTTTTGAACGAGAAATGGTAAAAACAAATTAGGCAGGTACAATCACTTGCATTCAGCAATGATTCCCAATATCCAAAGTTCTGGTCTGGAGAAATGGTCGTTAATGTCAACGATCAGAGATCTTGAATGTGTTTATGAGTGACGGAATCATTTTAGGATCAGAATACTTGTACATATCACAGTTGTTGGAACTACTCCGTGTATTGTCCACTGTCATTTCAGATACAGAGGCTACGTCCAATGTAACTGTGTATGATCTTGGAGATGGAATACTTTTGGTCAAGGTTGAGGTGTGTACATTTATCCTGTAGTTTGTACGCTATCAGGTCACTACTACACGAAACACGCTTTGTCCACACTGTGGATATATCAAGCGCCGTGACCAATAACTGAACTTATTTGCCAACCAAAATGAGTGAGTGAGTCAAAATGGAAGGTAATGGCGGCACTATTTATTGCAGTAAATGTATAAATATATGATATATCTTACAATATATTTATATCTTGCCTGTGAAGCAACTAGTACATCATCAGTTTTCATTTACGACTAGTGAGAAACTGTAAAACTACAACATAACGGTTCATAATACAACTTTGTGATAGATCGACAGCAACAAATGTTAATCATTCTATATGGCCCGTAGTGACTTCCGGTATGTCACCATGGTACCCAGGTCGTATTAAACATGGAACAATCACTTGGATGGGATTATAGGAACATTTTGACAATTATTACAGTATCGTTACAAGACACAATTAAAGAGATACATGGCCGTGAAAGAAGCATTTGTTGATGTGATGAGTCACGTGACACTTGCAGAACTCACAATGATATGACAGAAAGCAACTAAATGTAAAAAGAGTTCTTATCAATTGATTTCAAACCTTGATATCAGATGCAGTCAAACTATCACACGTTAACAATTATTATAATTATATTGCCAATTAAAATACACTTCTCATGCTCATTCTGAGAGATGTAGATTTTCGTCGTACTGACGTTTTCAGAGCCCAACAACGGGTGTGTGGAGACTAGCCCGCCAGGGTTCCAATACCTGGGAGGTGGAGGTGACAGGTCAGAGTACCCTGGACGTATCTACAACCTTTGTGAAGCTGGACCCTATCTCTGGCTTTGAGTATGAGATCAGCGGACGACCTATAGCAGGTTTGTAAGTGGTCACGCATCACAATGACAAGACACACCTCCCAAGTCCCCTACACTTCCCTGTAACCTACCCATTGTACAACTCGGGTAAAATATCCTAATATCGGAATTTGAAATGTTTTAGCATGCAGTGCCGGATAAACATCAATGGAAGCTGGCACTATGTTTAATTGTGTGGTTAAGTAGTCTCCTGTTTCATCTACATGCACCTTTAACTAAATTGTATCAGTGCTATTAGCTGAAGTCTCTGCTTTTTTAACAGGTGAAAATGCCACAGTCATCCTTGGCATTCCTTCGTCAGATGATGTTGGCAAAGTAGACAAGGTTATCTTAACTGACACTCAAGGAGTTGAGCTGGCAAGACATGGCGGAGTGATACAGGTGGCGTCACGAGCTGATTCACTGACCTACAGGACCACGTTCTCACTGCCTGTGAAGGTAAAACCCTGGATCAGTTGACACTTGATCATTTCACACATCCAACTGCTGCGCCCGGGGCATCTGGGACACCCGTGCCCCCTCGGTGCTCCCCCAAAAAACTTCCCACCTTATAATTAATCATTATCATTTGTTATCACTAAGCCCTGGGCAGACTATGTGATAAGCATGAATGGTGCACTCATCATGACATGTAATTATCTTGGGAGTATTTCCTGCTTCTTTCCTGCATATTCAGTGTGTGCATGGGTAACCCACTTGTCCATGGCGGCATACTCCGCTGTGCAGAGTATCGTCCCTTGAGTACACCAGGAACTTGTAATCGCGGGTTCACATCATATTAATGTGAAACCTGTAATCTTGGGTTCGTATCCTATTTATGTTTCTAAGATTGTAGCCACCAAACCCATGTTTCCGGGTTTTACTAGATTGGAAAATGCCCGAGAGTTGTATAATATCTGGTTTTCCTCTCCCATGAAGCTGACATGCTTTAAACTCAGCCCACTCACTCACTCACTGTTTGCATACCCATAATGAATCTTCCGGTCATCGTTACTCTGAAGGTAAACATTAACCAGCTGATCACTATGCCATGAGATATTAGGGATGTCATCTTTCACCTCAAATGCGGTATTAGTTCAAGAGTGATGGATTTATGTTATGTGCCAGAATGCTGGTATAAGTATTTAAGTACTACAACCACCGAGATCTGTACACAAGGCAGCTCCCCTCAGGCCTGCGCCCCGAGCTTCCACGATCACCCCCATAAAGCATGCGTGTGATTCCCCAAAAACAACAGCGGCAACACAGCCTCAGTTGAAATATGACGGCTCCTTTTCTCATGATGCAGGCATTCCAAATAGCAATAGAAGGCACTGACAAGGAGGGAAACCAATTTCTGCGTCTTCGGGCAAGAAGAATTGTACCTGTCAGCATCGATCTGAGACTTCTCACCCTTAATGGTAAGAGACAATAAAAGGCATAGCTTTGAAGTATGTTTGTCGGCGATGTTGCCGAATCATAATCGCTGGGTATTGTCACATTTTCATTCCTAACTCGTTGTTATAAGACGATACAAATTGTCTTTGTGAAACTATATTTGAAGTTGACAATAAAATTTGCTTCGTTAAATGTTTTGGTAGCCTTGACAGCATAGTCTATTTCTGGTTCATGCACGTTCAGGAATGAATTTCTAGGATCGCAGTTTAGTCTCGTTACTCAATCAGCTGTACAACATGATTCTTCGTCTTATTACAGGAAGTCTGTACATCAACGAACAGTTGTCAGTACCATTCCTGGTTGTCAACAAGGGTGACGCTGGATCCAATGTAACTGTCACAATCAGAGACGATCAGAACTTTGCATCGACAAACATACCACTGGAGTACATGCTTGAGCCTGGGCAGAGTGCATCTGGAGACTTTACACTGCAAGCTGGGTCGGTGGCAGGGTTGATCAGGTACATGTCCCTCACCACGTGGCAATATCAGATAGATCACGACGCCCCAATGGTAGGTCAACAGTGAGGTTGATCAGGTACATGTCCTACTGTATGTGGCAATATCAGAACACGACAACGCAATGGTAGGTCAACAGTGAGGTTCATCAGGTAGATGTCCTACTGTATGTGACAATATCAGACTGAGATCACGACAACCGAATGGTTGGCCAGCAGTTGGATTTATCAGGTACACCCTCTATACTACGTGTCACACTGAACACACGACAACTCAGTGTTGGGTTAAAATAGGTCCTCAGCATTAGCCTTGGTCGATAGAGACGATTGAAAAAGATCGGGTTGTCAGGCCTATTACTTTGGTTAATAGCATGTCTTCGCAAGCAGATAAATACAACATGCAAATACTTTGCCTACGTCAAACTATTTATGTTCTTGAAATGTAACCTTTAGACTTTCCAGCGCTGGATCAATATCGGACCTTTGAAGATTTAACTTCCACAGACGCAAATGTAAGGCGTCAATTCAAAAGATGCAGCATATTCCTACGAAACACTTTGGCAGAGGGTTGTACATGTTGTTGATTTCAATTTAAAGAAATTGATTTGCCTTTACCCTTGATAGTCAACATTGATTGATATGATGTGCAGTTTACAGTTTAGTATTTATGCATTTTTTAACGTAGATATGTTTTTTATTGATTCAAGTAACATTTTCAGTATTAAAAAGAAACCTCTCATACTCTCACCAGCACTGTGACCGTTTCTGCGTCGGCAACTGCCGCTACTGGGGACGAATTCCAGTTCGACGTCGTAATTGTCTCCACAGAAGAGCGTGTGGTCAGGGTAAGTGTCAGACCTGAAGGAACGGTTTGTCAACGTCATGACCAACAGACGCTTGTCAGTCTAAGCACCAACGTTTGCTTGTTAGTTTAAGCACCAAGAGATATTTGTCAGTGTAACCACCAAGAGATATTTGTCAGTGTAAGCACCAAGAGATATTTGTCAGTGTAAACACCAACAGATGTTTGTCAGTATAAGCACCAAGAGATGTTTGTCGGTGTAAGCACCAAGAGATGTTTGTTAGTGTAAAAACCAATTGATATTTGTCAGTGTATGCACCAACATCTGTTTGTTAGTGTAAGCACCAACATATGTTTGTTAGTGTAAACACCAAGAGATATTTGTCAATGTAAGCACCAACCGACGTTTGTTAGTGTAAGCAACAACAGATATTTGTCAATGTAAGCACCAACATATATTTGTTAGTGTAAGCAACAACAGATATTTGTCAATGTAAGCACTAACAGATAATTATCAGTATGTGCACAGATTTTTGTTAGTGTAAGCGCTACAGAATAATGATGTATGTCGGTTGTAGTTGTTGGAAGAAAGATACCTGTCCAAAATGTTTCCGAGACGTTTAGGGTTACATGCATTTTCAGGAAGAAGATGACACCATCCCTTTCTGCAACGTCACCTCGGTGACAGGTAGTTGTGACGTCACAATGCTTGACCCTTGTGTGTGCAGCCAGTACAAGTGGTCAGGGTCTGCTGAAATCAGAGACGATGGGTTCGGACTCTACCAAGTGACCGCTTCTATTAATGCAACAGGATCGTTCCGACACGACAATTTCACCCTTGGTTACAACGGCACCGTATCAGCTACCATCACGTAAGCAAAACCCAATTATTGGCTATCTGTTTAATATGACAAAAAATGAAACATACAACCTTATTGATGACAACTTCTTGTTTATTGCATAAAGCGACGTTTCGATGCAGATTGCTTTACCTTGATAACGATGTAACAATCTGCATCGAAACGTCGCTCTACGTTTTAATCATAAATATTGAAACAAGTGCTTTTTCCGGCAGGGGCGACTGTTGTAAAGCACTTGTCTACATCATCGCTGTCGACCTCGCCAGCAACACCGGTCAGTGTGTGTTTGATCTCGCCCCTGGACTGACTAAGCCATTTCAGTCCTGCAAGCCAACAACTCAGGTTCGTCAACCAAGTAAATTCAGGAGAAATAGATCGTTTTATGTCCTCCTAAATCACCATTCACATTATTGATGGAAGGAGATACTTATATAGGCTTTTTATCAATATATTGTTCTAAATTCAGGTCCAAATAAATGATGAAGAACATGAATTTGACATTATAACAATGTGCGTATATTCATGTAAAACAGTTGTGTATGGTTCTGTGTGTCCTGCTCTACAGCCCCCCGACGCCCGGTCCAATGAATTTGTTATCATCGTCGCTGCTGCGGGAGGTGCTGGATTCATCATCCTTGTGCTTGTCATCACTGTAGTCATTGTCGTCATCAGAGGCAGAGGAAAGGTGAAGACCGCTGGTTGATTTTATCACCACAGTCTTTGAGTAACGGGTTTACCGACCTACAAACCTACTCTCTTCATGTAAATATACTTACAACTTGATAGACTTCTACGTGTCTACCTCTTTTAAATCTGGATTGTTTCCCCTCCGGACATCCTGGGAATTTACTTTTAGACCTGTTCACACTTTCTGTTTGTAATGTTTGTTTTAGATCTACTTATGCAGAGAACAATTGTTCTATTCTGATCATTATTACCGTCTTAGAGATTTGTATGCAGTATATATATACTTCTTGACGGATTAAATTCCTATCTATACTGTAATTCATTTGTCGTCATTAATATTGGAAACATCTTTCATTACCAGTAGTGTGTCACAGCTGTCAGACAAAAGGATAATGTATAGGATAAGGTCTTCTGTGCTTGGTTACCCGGTTACCCGGAGAAAATGTACACCTAGTAGTAGCGACGTGCCTGAAATCCAACAATATGGACTGTGAAGTATGTGAGTATGGACCAGGTAATCCAGTGTTAGGTGACATTAGCATCCATCTGCTGAAAGACCTTGTGAATGACCTGGTGAATGACCTGGTGAATGACCTGGTGAAAAACCTGGTGAGTGACCTGGTGAATGACCTGCATAAGGTCAGACTGACCATTTAATCCCGTTTGACACTTCTTAGACGCACTTGGGTTGTTGAAGATGTGAACCTTACGGTGTGAAAAGTGGCCGAGTGAGTGGGTTGTTATATGAAAGGTTATGATAAATATATAATACCTGACGAGAGGGAAACTGTCATGGCATAACTGTTTTATCATATACCACATGAGGGGACTTTACTCTTAAATAGACAAGGCTCCGTCTATTGAAGTTTCGAGCGTTTGCGTGTATTCATTCCATACCTTTTAGTAGCCAGACAATACGGCTGATATGGATTTTCATCCCGGGAGGTCAGTGTGGATCTATTCCGACAGCCAGTATTGTATGTGCAAAATGGTCCATATTATGTATTCATAGGTATGTGATAAATGAAGTTATTGCACCAATACCAGGGTATTTTACCAGAATAATCTCAACAAATAAGATTCTGTATGAGTGAGTGAGCGAGTATGGTTTTACGCCGCTTTCAGCAATATTCCAGCAATATCACCGCGTTTACACCAGAAATGAGTTTTACACATTATACCCATGTAGGTAATCCAACCCAGTTCTTCAGTTCTGTATTAGAAACCAGCGTGTGAGAAGCCAGTTCACTGTGTTGAACCATAAGGCTGACCAAGGCTAGAACCGACTCAGCGACATGAAATAACACTTTACAATTAACTAACGCGTCAATCCCCAACGCATCGTCATCTACACATAACCTGCAAGTCTGCGGACACGGCCTCTACGCTGCAATACAGGAACACACATTGCCAGTTACTTACAGTAACATTAGCAGGTGAACACTGCGATCCCCTCCCCTTTTTACATTGTTTCTGGTGAGATTCAGCAGTGTGGAGTGATGTTACTCTGTTCACATTCAGAGTCAAGACGTGTAGAGGTTTCTAGAACAGTCAAAATATCTAGCGTAGTCTTAACCCAGAATGTTAGTCAACGTTCTGGACCAGAAACTTCTGATAGCTTTGACAAATATGACCAACTGGCGCTGTGACACGTAGACGTCAATATGACTTCACAGATCAATCTTTCTGTATCTCGCTAGTGGACGTGGTAATGGCCTTTAGAGATATTGCATATAGTCAAAATAGTGGCTTCAGTAAGCTCTTCAGTACTTTAGGCAGAGCACAATCTTGTATTTAAACGCTCAGTGAACGTTTTGTTCATCGTCAGATATAAGAAATGGACATGTTGCTGAGGATGGACAAGGTGGTGACACCGACCTTTCCATCGTGCGACCACTGACTTATATTGAACCGAAGGAACAAGATGACAACGCAGGACTGACCCAACCACGTCAAGATCGTTCTGCTCAGTGCAAACATGTGTATAGTCTCAAGTAAGCAAGAATAATTACGAAATGCGGCGGCCATCTCAGCCTGTTACGACGGGAATTGTAATATACTGAACCAAAACAGATTCGTCGCTTTTCAAAACCAAATGCAAGATTTTGTTCATACAAAATGGTGTTTTTGTTATGATTGTATCTTTTTATCAACATGTTTTCCAATCCAATTTCATAGTTATTACCAACATCAGTGTGTTTTCTGATGAAAAAGCATAACGACCAAACGCACCTAAAATGGCAGACGTGGTAAAAGGTTACGTATGACATTCGTGAAAATGAAAATGCACGTGCATATCGTGACAACTCTAGCAATGAAAGCGAGTCCCAAACTCGCATGAAATCATTTTTGTTTTGACACAATTGCGAGAGATCAGAGGAACGAAGAAGATTGCAAGCTGGCCAGACTGCACGGAGAGTAGCCAATCATTTTAATGTTCATGTTAGGACAGTTTACCGACTGCAGTGGGCGACCTTCTGTAACGTCAAGACCGACACCATCTGCAGGATCGCTTCCCCAGAGAGGCTGAAACAGCACGCCATACCATTTGGACTTACAGACCCATCAGTGCCGATACAATGCGTCGACGTTTGCGCGGGTGAAACCTCTGCTGTCACAGACCATATCGTAGTCCAGTCCTCACTGCTCATCATCGCTAAAACCGACTGCAATGGGCAACAACTCGTTATCGGCAATGGAAATCTGTGCTTTTTTTCTCATGAAAGCCGATAATTTGTTTCGACAGTCGATGGCAGAGTGAGAGTATGGTGAAGGCGTGGGGAACTGTTTTCCAAGAGTATTGTTGAAAGAGACCCATGGGGTGGTCCAAGAATAATGGTTTGGGGTGCAATCGGTCTGAACCAGATAGTTAGCACTGTACGTGGTGTTCCAGATTCTCGGTCCAGGATGAGGAAATGACGTGACAGCTGCTCGCTATACTGGTCAAGTCATAAGACCCCACGTTGTACCACAGTTTGGACGTTACAGAAATCACATCTTTCAGCAAGACAACGCTCGTGCCCACACTGCCAGAGTAACATTGGACTTCCTAAGGCAACATGGCATCCAAACCCTACAATAGCATGCACTCAGTCTTGATTTGAGTCCAATAGAATAGAGAACAGAGATTCAAAGAGGGTTGAATGACCTCCACCCAAGGCCGACAACTGAGGCTGGACTCGATCAGGCATTTCACAGAGTATGGACCTAAGTGCCTATGGCCTCCATCAACAGGGTAATTCATTCCATGTACAGACGATGCAACGCTTTCATCGATGTGCATGAGGCCACACACACTTTGGGGTATCGGAATGGTACTATGTTTGGTGATTTTGTTTGTGTGAACTCTAAATGTGATTACCGAAAATGTGTTCATCACAATTGTCAAGTTTGAACTCAATCCTCTGTTTTGGTTGTTAATTAGAGTGAATTAAAGTGTCTGCTTTAAGAAACCGCTATCGGTGCGACATTTCTTTTGTGGTTCAGTATACTTGCAGCCGTTTGACGTGCACCTAGATACAGAATTACTTGCAAAATCAGACAAAAAATGCCTTCGTACATCATAACAAGCCAACACACTTGCAGTGTGAAAACATTCATATCACATTCACTGGATTGTCTGATATGTCACGCTTTGAGCTTGCAATGTGCATGGATAAATTTGCAATATAAATGGACAATTATTAACATTATTATATAACATGTTCGCAAAAACGGGGTTCATTTCTTTACTGAAGTATGCTTTCTCAAGAACTGTTGATCTGTCGATCGATTGTACTTATCTACTCTATGGTTCTGAAATACGTGGGTTGGACTATTCTAAAGTTATAGGCTTTCCTTAAGCTTGCCTCAGAGTTAAAATCTCCAACACCCAGCTTCATGGTACACGAATGAAGAGAGTGCCATTAAGTCTTCAAACTGCCAAAGGAATCGCAAGTATGGCATAATATTGTAATTGAAAGTAATTCGATATAGATAAACGTATTGTACAAAATTTATGATGGCTGTATAGAGCGATTACCGGAGTATATCTCGCACCTGAACATTTTCATAACGAATGGATTGCCCTAAGTGTTGAACGACAGCTTAAGGGGTGATTTTACACAAACTGAGGAGCGCAAATTTAACTAGCCCGAAAGCTAACCAATATCAATTTGTCAAACAACTTCCATCTCCCAGCAAATATTTGTTGTGTCCAAGATTTCATACTGTATTTCAAGATACATAACCACAAGTAATAATTTCCCTGTCCATTCAGCCCTTTGTCAGGGACCTCCAGAAAGCGAACTAGAGTAATATGTAAACCAGCAACTGCAGTCAATTTCCCTTCCGTCGAGGTATTCAAAAATGAACGAAATTAGGACATATCTAAAGATACTTGTGCTTGGCAATATTACATTTGAATGCATCGCTCTTGTACCGTTAGTGGTGCTTTATGGAGAAACATAACGTTCTCAAGTTAGACTTGCTATCAAAAGGTGAAGACAATTTAACGCATGCTTGTAAGAGGCGATTAACGGGACCTTTTGGTTAGGCCCTCTGACACACGTCATCGTATTCCAAATGAGTAGATCGATGATCATGCTGTTGATCACTGGATTGTCGGGTCCAGACTTGCTTACTTACAGACCGCCTCCATGTAGCTGGCATTTTGC